CGAACTATCTAACGATAGGATGTTCATTATGGTAGCCGGCAGGCGATACATCCATGTTCCGGTAGTGCCCGCCGCCTGTGCATAGGAGGAACTCATACTAGGAATTACAGTTATTTAATTAAGTATTCGATTACGTTTATATGTTAAAATTAGTATTTCACTAGCGAGGTTTTTTTTCGAAAATTCTGTTTTATTTCAAAAAGGTGAATACCTTTTTGTGAAATAATACATATAGACGGAACCGTAAATATTATCGGCAAGCATATCAGCAAATTCGATTAAGCTACACGTGAAAAAGAAATCGCCAACAAATCGAGCCACACCATCGCGTAGCCTTTCACGTGGATCTGTACTTTCCGAAACCTGTACAATAAATTATTTCTGTATCCGGTTGTTTTAATTTTATTCACCTTCATCTAAAGCTACTGCTCCGCACTTGTGACATATTCGGAAGCAGCAATGTTGTACTTTTGGCAATTCTCGATCAGAATGAAATTTTCTGATTTTGGTACCATTTCTCTCCAGTCAGTGTGCTATGGTTTCAATTTTAGCCTCTCAAAATTACTGGAAGATTTGGTTTTGCAGCGTAATTTGGCACTTTTTAATTCGCTCTGGACCTGTAGTTTTCCATGTACGGCTAAATTTGGTGCTCTTTAGCTTAATTTTTGTAGAGCTTTGAGCTGCCGAGGTTTTCCTTAAGCTTATCTTAATATTTTTTTCAAACTCTTGGTAGTCTAGTGTTTTAGATTTTCGATGGTCGAGGCTCAATTGCGTCGGTAGCAGGATCTTGAACTTAGTGAAATGAATTACCTCTTCATAAGCATGCAATAACGCATGCTTTACCAATTGTGAATCACCAAAATACGGGATAAACGATTGTAGTGAGCGTGTATATTGCGCCCTGAAAGAGAAATTTGAGATTTCTGGAATTCCAATTAATTAAAGTTTTGGATCAGTATAAGCCTATCAACAACAGAGGAGACGTGTAACATCTAAATCATAGGACGCATTTTTGCACTAAACTTGAAGTAGCCAGGTCGTTAACTGTATGAATGACTGTTGCTTGACCTTAGCTTTTCCACTTTTTACCGTAAATTGCCGTAAATTTTTGCAAAAAAAGAAAATGGACGGCTGTTCATTGAAAATTACTTAGCTGTTCAACTTTTCAAGTTAGCATTTTTCCGCCAAAATTTTCACTCGCCTCGACGTGTCACACAGTACAGCGATGGCTCAGTGGCAAAGTGCTTACCTGCCACGTTGGCGCCCCGGGTATGACTTCCGCCCCTAGCCTTCAGTGTATTGATAGTACCTACTGTGTGCTTAATGTATGTGCGCCATCTCTTCGAAGATTACTTGTTTGGAATAGTGCTGAATACTGATAGGTTTCGCCCATCGGTTTTTAGAACAGCACAGACAATAATTTGTAAGAAACCTTCGGAATGCTAGAACAAACCTGTTGATTAAAGCTCGATTGGTGGGATCATCAGCTGATATGGTATGATTGAACTGGAAGCCCATTTTTGGACTGATAAGATAATAGGGCAGCCAGTATGTGCCCTCATCCTTCATCGATCCAATCATCACGCTTATATCCTTCTTGAAGTCGCGCGTTTTCATTTTCGTGAACAAATTACCCTGGAAAAATATTGGGCGGCAATTGAACCGAACGGTGTACCTCTCTCGTCCGGATCCATGCTTCCGATGGTGTGTACTTGCAACGCAACAAAATCCCAAACAAAA